CCATAATGAGGCCACAATGAAGCGAAGCGATAATCGCCTAACTTTTTAATGTCGCGACATTGAAGCGATGCTGAAGCCATAACAATGCCATATTGATGCGATGCTGAAGCGAAGCTGACGCTGAAGTGAAGCCAAAGCTTCCGCGAGAACTGTACTGTATGTCCTGTCCGAGCTCGGAGCTGGTACTGCGACCGCACCAAGGTGTCTAGGGGCAGTGAGAAGCGCATGTTTGTCTGTTATGAGCGGGGCTAACAGAGCCACCCTGCCTCGAATATCACCATTTCACAGTGGATTGATACGATCGTGGAAGAGTTTAACTTAACTGCTTCTTCATCGGCTCGTTTGGAATGTCACCAGGTGAAGGCACACAAAGTGCGCAGGGTAGCCAACTCATTGGCTTTGATGTCTGGGGACTAACTCGAGCAGGTGCTCTGAGCAGGGTTCTGGAGATCTCAGAATGTCTTCATTAACTATTACCTGAGAGACTTCCAAGCACTGGAGGAGGGTCTCTACAGGTTGGGTCCATTTGTGACGGGTCAGACAGTGTTCGTTGACCCAGTCCACACCACCAAGGGGCCCCATGCACGAAAGCGTTAGTGAGATAGTGTCTTCAGTCGAAACCAGCCTTCTTTGCTTGACGCTGCTGGTTTTGATCAGCGCTCGCGAACCCCAGCAATACACTGTTTTGATGCATTAGAATTGTTGGGGTTCTATTTTATTGTTCAGTCGGCCCGCTTTAGTAAGCCTCCCTAAATTGGGGGGTCTACTCTCAAGACACCCGGTCCCTGAAGAGTCGCCCGAGTGGTTGTATCCTGGGACGAGACTCCTTGTTAGTGAGTAGTTTTAGATTTCTCAGTTTTTTTACCTTTCTTCTTTGTGTCAAAAAATATACATTTCAGCCGTCGGAGCTTTACCACCTCCAAGGAGCGTGCTACTCTGCCTAATGAGTAATAAATGAAATTTATTATTTCCACTGACTTTCTGGTAGGTGATGTAGTAAACTATTAGGGTTGTACATACCTACCAGAAAGTCTGGGGAATACGTCCACCTCCCCACAAGCTTCCGGCGGCCCGTTGGTGCAGCGGAAACGTTTGTGAGAATGAACGGATCAGGTCTCGCGTGCGTGAGCTCCATATGGGTGACTCCACAGGAGAGGCCTTTTTTTCTGTAGGAAATGCTACCCTAGGGTGTTCTTTGTGGACCCAGATATTTTCCTTAATTGTTTCCGTTCGCGCTGTAATCTGTAATTAAGCCTAACAAGTAATAAATGAAATTTATTATTTCCACAGATTTTCTGGTAGGTATGATTAGGTATACAAATGAATTTGTACAACCCTAATATTTTATTACTACATACAGGGGTATTCATAGTTACAATCTTGCTCAAAAATATTGATATTGGCTGCAAAGATAGTCGCTTCTTTTAGCTCCACTGTCATCAATAATTGAATTTTCGACTTCTTCTTGAAAACTATCAGCTCAATTACTTTGATGCTTGGTTTGTAGGTACCTCTGTCAAATTTGTTCATTTTGTGACAACATCTTTAATCCTTTATTTTTGGCAAATATTTTTGTTTTCATTTTTGGTAAAAATTTTTATTTTCAACTTTTTTTTGTAAACTGCCAGCATGGGTGAACCTCCGTCAGATATGTTCATTTCATAACGATATTTTTAATTTTTCTATTTTTGACGAACATTTTTGATAAAAAATATTATTTCTGACTTCGTGGATGACAGAGCAGAGCTGTTAATGTTGCTTGTTCATTATTCGTCACCAATTGTATTTTCAACTGCATCTTGAAAACTGCCATCTCATTTGCTTTGATACTTATGTATGTATGTACCTTGGGTGAACCTTTATCAGATTTATTTATTTCATGATGATTCCTTTAATTTGGCAAATATTTTTGTAATCTTTGGTAAAAAATGCTATTTTCAATTTCTTCTTGAAAACTACTAGCTCAATTACTTTGATACTTGGTATCAAACTGAGCTGGCAGTTTTCCAGAAGTCTTATGGGTGTGCGCTACCACAATGTTCTTGTGTGACAGCGGAGCTATTTCAACCGTCAGGTGGCTTGTCTTGGCAGTTCATGCACAACTTGAATTGGTGCAGTACTACTCAAACTAAAAACAATGTTGAAACCAAAGTAATGTGCCCATGTCTCAAGCTGTAATATGTATTTGTTTTTTTCAGAAATTGAGCAGCACATCTAATCGTCATTTCTTTATTGATCAGCAAATCACATAGCTTGTAAAGTATCAAAAATGAATCAAATTTGTTGTAAATTGTCCCGGCAATGACATATAGATGTTACTCTCTGGATGCAAAGTATCGGTCAGAATAAAGGTGCCATTTATTTTTTGACACCAATGTTAAAATACGCTAAAAAAACTGCCTCGAGAAATGTCCAAAGGTTGTATTCGTTTTTGAAAGAAATACAGAATTTTGTATCATTTGCTTTTTTTGGTAAGCATTTTTGTTACTTGCTCTGTGGAAAACACATCGATGAGAGCATGTCTGCCAACATTTGTATATGAATAGAATGGTGGATTAGCCAATCATTGGACAGATTGTAAAATAGGTCACTGCCTTATAGAAGTAATTTTAAGGCCACAGTATACACCACATAACTTGTGAAAATAAATTACATACCCCATGTATAAATATTCTGTCATACTACCAAATGCATTGATTTATTCATTTATTTATTACTCTTTAGTATTCATTTATAATAATTTATTATATATAATTGTTTGTTGTTCATACAATGCTTTCCTAATCCATGTGCATTTATATTAAAGGTCCTGGTCTTGTCTTTGTGGTTTACCCCGAAGCATTATCACGTATCCCGTTATCAGCATTCTGGTCAGCATTGTTCTTTCTTATGATGTTCACAGTGTGTTTAGACAGCCAGGTTAGTGTAGCCATCATTTCCTTAACAATGATTTAGATAATTTGCACTTTTTATTTCCCATTTGGATGTAGGATTGACCTCTGAGCATGCGGACTTGTATCTTAGACATGTCTGGACCAATCACAATCAAAATTCACACATACATAATATTAAAAATATGAACATCAATTTGTTTTATGATCTTATTCATGATGGCCAAATGGCGGCCATTTTTGTACTGAAAAATCAAAATCAAGCATTTCTCAGCTGTTTACAGATGGATTTTGTTCATACCTGATACCATTACATACAGTACATTGGACATTGGGGGACCTTAATGTACGTTATTTTGTTTTGGGCATTTTTAGCACCGCTGTCATCGTAGATGACTCAGCGGATCTGTTGGTATGGGTGTCCCGCGTGAAGTTTTTCTTTAAGCGATTTCTTCTTAGAAAGTACTTGACCAATTCCATTCATATTCGTACAAAAGGTACTGTGTCAAAATATGCAAATTTGGATTTTTAGTGAATAATTTTGTCATTTTTGGTAAAACATTTTATTTTTGACAACTAGTTTAAAACCGTAAGTCCAAATGCTTTCATATTTCCAGCCATGATGCGTGGTGTGGTCCTCTGTCAGATTGGTAAATTTGTGTCAAATATGCAAATTTGGATTCTTAGTGAGTATTTTTGTCATTTTGGTAAAAAATGTCATTTTCGACAACTAGTCCTAAACCATAAGTCCAATTGCTTTCATATTTGCAGCAAGAATATGTGCGGTGGTTCTCTGTCAGATTCGTTAAATTTGTGTCAAAATATGCAAATTTGGATTTTTAGTGAATATTTTTGTCATTTTTGGTAAAAAATTTTATTTTCGACAACTAGTCTAAAACCTTCAACCACAATGCCACTTTACTGATTCTTGTTCCATGATAATGAAGACGGCGGAGCTATTTCGGCCGCCAGGTCGCTTGTGTTTTAATGATTGTGGTTCTAGTGCCATATCTCTGACATGCTTTGACTAATTATGTTCAAATTTTAAATATTCATTATACAGTACATCATCACATGGATATATTGGTTTGACAATCCAATTCATAATGTCCAAATGGTGACTATTTTTGTGCTAAAAACTCACCAAAAATATTTATGGCATCCTGGAACCGGATCTTGGTTATTTATGAATGGATTTTGTTTGATGATCCAATTCAAAATGGCCAACCAGCGGTCATTTTGTTTTAATAAATGATGTTCCAGTGCAATATCTCTCAATATGGACAAGTATATTTTTGTATGTGCAGATTACAAGTGCTAGTGCATATTCATGTTTCGGACTACATAACAGGGCTATGTGACCATCTCCCTATCAAATGGCAATTTTAATGTGCTACCCTTGTGTCAACCAGGGTTCCCCCAAATTCGCATTCTCAGCCAGTGGAATTTGCCTTCCCACTGAGTCTGTGGCACACTCACCAGGCATAGGGGTCGACTTTTTTAAATTTCATAACTAATGAGGACTGTACCATGCATGGCTTGTTATTAATGCTTTTCCAGATCAATATTTCTCAATATAGACAAGTACTTGTTTGGTGATCAAATACAATATGACTGAATGTCAATCATTTTAATATTAAAAATTAATAATTAAGCATCAGCTTCTAAATAAATATCTCTGGCATGTTTATGTTCCAACTTTATTACTATAAACAAAATTATATATCTTAATTGCAACTAACTGGGGCTGTGCCATGCATGACTTGTTTATTGAAACTTGTCTGAAGTTTCCATGTTGTTAACAGTACTTGTTGCATTATAGTATTAATATTACATTGTTTGTTGTTTTTATGCAGTACCAGTATTTAATGTATTTTAGTTAAAGTGCCTGTGCAATGCCCACCCTTACGTTTCCCTTTTTAGATCTGTGTCCCACTGAAAAGGGTAGTTATTGATTTTTTTGCTGAAAATGATTACTCGTATCCAAGTAAATTTGGGATATTTCTCGTGTTGTAGCCACGCCCACCTATCTTGAAACGGTCGACTGTTTCCGGATTTCCGACTCTCGCCGAAAGTGCGCCACCAAATGACAAAATTTGAGAGGAAGTCATACCCCTGAGCCGTAATAACACTGGTCGTTCAGTATACTTTTAAACGATATACATTTTTCGGTCGGCGTTTTTTCTTATTTTTTGTCTATTTTTTTTTTTTTTTTTTTTTTGAGAGAGTTTTAGATGTGTTGTGGGCAGTTACAGTGAAACG